AATGAAAATTCAAGCAACTTTTTATTTTCATACTGTTAAGAAATGTTGAATTCCATTAAATTTTCAGTGAATTTTTAAATTTCATTACGTCCCTCTCAAATTAAATTAAATGTTTTGCTCCTAAAAATTACCACTGAACTATCCATGAATTTCAATTTTTTTCAACAGTATAATTGCTAGGAAAAAATGAAGTCGACTTTCTGAAATACACTAATGAAATGATTGGAAAATCACAATTTTCGAAGACCACAATCATTTTTTATATAAATAATCCAATAGCAATCAATGTTTCACTCAAAGAATAATTTTTTTCGTGTAACGGGACCTGAAAAACCCCATCCTCGCCTTCGACTCGGAAGGCAATCTTGCACGTGGAGGACGGTGATCTGTTTTCCAAGGCTCGGGCATGTAATGTACTATTCCTGAATTATAACGAATTCTTCCGTTTTCAGAATTTCACCAAAAATTAATTCCATGGCAAAAAAATCAATATTATTTGATTTTGTGATATAAGTATTGATTTCATTAAACAAACCATCGAATAACCAAAATCGAATGAAAAATTTAAAATTGAATATTTTTAGATTTTCTATTTTTTTTTTCAATTCATTCTCGACATTCAAGTTCATTAATCATCTATAATTTAATCTTGTCAGCTCGTAACTTTTATCACCAAAAAATCATTTCCCATTCCAGTAATTATAAATAAATGCGTGTATTATAGAAAATATGCACTGATGTAATTCTAGCGCGATTTGTAATTCTAGCGCGCTTTCGTAAATAGCACTGTCGCGGCCGAATTGCTCATTCTCATGAAAGTTCTCATGAGAATGCGTCTTTCATCCGCCGCAATGACTCTGAAGATAACATCATGTGGCAATTTATTCGAACGACACTCTATTTCTGTTTCATACGTTCATGACCGAACACGTCCGTTCGACTTCGACTTTCGGTGAATCGATTCGACATTCTTCAATTCGAGTTTTCATTTGGCAGCCATTATGCTTTCCTTTATATATAAGGATATTTCAAGAATAATTTCTCTGTCTATTTTACATGAATGGCGTAAATTTTGATATCAAACAGAACGGAATTAGCTGTGTAGGACTCAATTAAAAAAAAAACTCACTTGTAACCGTTATNAAAGATAGCATCATGTGGTAATTTATTCGATACGACACTCTATTTCTGTTTCATAAGTTCATGATCGAACACGTCCGTTCGACTTCGACTTTCGGTGAATCGATTCGACATTCTTCAATTCGAGTTTTCATTCGGCAGCCATTATGCTTTCCTTTATATATAAGGA